AACAGACTTCACAAGGGAAGGCGAAAAGGGATCTTCATATGACAACACTAGTGCAAGTACTGCATTTTCAGGCCCCCAGCCTAAGAGGCGCACAGTACTCAGGGATGTGACCAATTTGCGTAATGCTAACTCTAACAAAACTTTGCTGCTGCACCAAAGCTTCAGGTATCGAGATGTTCCCTGGATAATTGCATTATCTTACAATGAGTTTTCTATGTGTACTGTTTTCTAAACATTGCAAATGTAGTAGAGTGACAAGGTTAACTCCTTTTTGTTCAGACAAGGCCCTCTCTAAGGACTGGAAGAGCCGTGAGCAAAGGCAAGCAGTGCATAAAAAGGATTCCTAAAATACCGCCACAAGCTGGTAATGGAAGTTCATTCGCTAATGATTCGAGCATTGCTGAAGAAACACAAGAGGAGAAACTTTTGGCACAGAGAGAAGAACCTATTCTTTTGCTTGAGAACAGGGCTCACTGTCATTGCAGAATGTTGAAAGGAACAGGGACAGTGCTTGTCATGAGACATTCTTTAAGGAAAGAAATGTCAGGGATATATGTGAACCTTCTGTGTCAAAAAAGAATGGTCAGTTCCATTTTCTTTTTGAGCTTGAACATTTGCTCTTAAAGATTTGCCAGCATCACAGCCACACTGAGTCTGTATAATGTTCAAGGCTTTTCTTACCTTAATGTGTTACAAAATGCAGCTGGCACCCTTGCTTTTACTTGAGTATAATCTTGATGGTCTTTCTGGAGTATTAGAAATCTGAAGAAACTAAAGCTTGCTGCTAATGTTCTTTATTTTGTCATTTCTGAGATACCTGTAGATAGTCTTAACGTTTCTGATTAGTGGCCATCTGCTGAAGATTCTGTATTTTCTTCAGGGGACTCTTATGTGTTAGACATTGTAGATATCGACAAAGATAATGGCAATCCTCAAATAATGTGCTTCCCTACGTTGTAGAGATATACTCGAACCTAATGGCTTCAGAGGTATGCTGTTGTATTTTGATCAAAACAGAAATGCTGCTTAGTTGTACTGTTTAGGCAGAATTCTATTTTTAATATATTTCAGATGGTATGTTAAGCATGTAAGAACTCCAGATTTAGATTTCTGTGTCATATTCTTGGCACCTTGTGCTTGTTTAAGCGGTATGTGTCTATCTTTATGTTTATGTCATTCCACAGCTTATGAAGACCCAGTCCTTACATGGAGGGTTTGCAGCGGGACATCACTAAGGGCATGAGAGGAATACTCATTGATTGGCTTGTGGAGTTCTTCTATTCATAATTTTATTTTGATTTCTGCTTATTTCCATACATGATTTATTCAACTACGTTCTTAAGTTGCTATCAGGCGATTCAACTTTGGTGTTTCATAGCATACTCTGCATATAAACTGATGATCTACCAAATGTGAAGTATGACCTAGAAAATAAGAAAAATACTGTTATTTGATGCCAATAAACATGAGATAAATTATATTATATGATTGAATCAGTTTGCAATCATCCTTTTATTTTTTTGTTCTTGCAGCAGTGCCTGCGATATTAAAGTGGCAAAATAATGTTTACTTTCTTTAGAGACTGTTTACTTCTGGCTTTTCTTTTGTCTTATGGTGAAAATATTGTATACTTTATACGTTGTACTTCTCACTTCTCATGACTCAGCTTAAGGTGTCTTATATATTGTCTTTGTCACAGGTTTCTGAAGAATACAAGCTTGTTCCAGACACGCTGTACCTAACTGTATATCTTATTGACGGTTTCTTTCTCGGAACTACATTGAAAGACAGAGACTACAACTTTTGGGAATAACAAGCATGTTTGTTGCCTCGTAAGTTTTATGCTCTAGCCATTTTATTTTTGAAGTGGAAAAATTTAAACTACATAGGAAATGTAACATAAAAGTTTTCCCTAGATTCTGGACTAGTTTCATCTTTGGCTAATGTAATGAACAATCCTGTAAGTAAGTAAATTTTAATTCATTTGCAGGAAATATGAAAGAGATATGTGCTCCTCGAGTTGAAGAATTCTGTTTCATAACCGACAATACATACACAAAGGCAGAGGTATTTGTTTCATGTGAAGTTGAGGAAAAACTAATTACATATATGGAAGGAACCATTGAATTTGTATATCTGATAACTCCCTGATCCAGTAGGTGCTGAAAATGGAGTGCCAAGTGCTGAATGACCTGGGATTTCATCTTTCTGTTCCAACAACAAAAACATTTCTCAGGTTACTTTTGCCAAATAAGCCTAGTAATTCTTTTGAAATGGGAAACCACTGCAGCATTACTAATATCTCTTTCCTCTTTTATTTTATTTTTTATCAGGAGATTCCTTAGGCGGCACAAGCATCTCGTAAAGTAAGTGGCATCAGATCTTACAGAAACAGTTTTCATTCAAGTTATGCCTACATGTTTTATCTCAGCACTAAATTCTGAAGTTTATCTGCAGACTCCTTCTATGACTTTGGGATTTCTGGCCAATTATCTTGCGGAGTTGACTTTGACCGATTATGATTTCTTGAAATTTCTTCCATCATTGGTGGCAGCATCGGCTGTGTTTCTTGCTAGATGGACACTTGACCAATCCGACCAACCATGGAGTGCGTACGAAAAGCACTTGGTACATACAGCAGTACATGCTTTAAAAAGAACTTGGTTTTATCTCTAATCTGTGGCTATTCAATTATGTGCAGAACCAAACTCTAGAGCACTACACCTCTTACAAATGCTCTGACATTCAATTATGTGTCTGTGCTCTCGGGAACTCCAGCATAACACCAGTAACTGTCCTCTTAATGCCATCCGTGAGAAGTACAAACATCAAAAGGTATGCAACCACATCCTGCTGTTTGAATTCGTACCACATTGCTTAAGTGAAGTCTTCAGTTGCACTTTGGTAGCGGCAAGTAAAACTGAAGCTGTTCCACTTACCTTAGCTCCAAAAAGGAGGACTGCTGAACTTAACATTGTCGATCTTCTAACACTATGCTGGTTGTTCTGCTGCAGTTTGATTGCGTAGCAAACCTAACTTCACGGAGCTCCATCGGTCGCTCTTCAGCTGACACGCCAATGACACGGTTTCCTTTGATCAGCAACGTTAGCTGCAGTCGTAGCTCAGGCTGCGTTAACATTATTGTAGCATCCCCTTCCCTCTTTTCCTCATTTTTTTATTTGGTTTGTGTTGTCATCGAGCTGTTGTGTCCCGGCCTTTTCGAGTCGCAAGTAAGAAGAAAGACAGGTAGATGGCTCGTTGCCTTTTGGTTTGACGTAAGGTTTACCCGATTGTAAACAACACTGTGTGTAGGGCATGGCTTGGGCTGTTATTAACTGTAAGATGGTCGGCATGTATAACAAACAACGGAATGCTGTTTGTTTTGACACAATTCGTTCATTGTTAGCTTCGGAATGGAAATTAGTTTATTGCCAGATTACTTTCTCTGTCTAGATGGAATGCCTGGTTCAGTGCTTGTTGTATATATATGGTTGATTGATAGTGGTAGCAAGGGCATGCAGGTTTGGCCATTTTTGGTTCGGCTGGTGCCAGCCAGTTTTCCTGACCAGTGACCAGCTTGGCAACCTCTGTGTGGCCTGTGGGGAACACACGTACACACAAGGAGGCCCGGAACACCAGATCCTGGGAATTATGCTTGTTGATTTCTTTCTTTTAGATTGTCCGTTTCATCTGTTGTGCTATATGAGTATCTTTTTTTTTATTGATGAAAAAAAATGCTGTTTGTCACCCAATTCCTGGGTGTTAAAATGAATGACTTTGTATTGCTCCCGGTGACAGCTCAAACAAATTCACCCCATTGTGGTTGTTTACCTAGTAGTAATAACCCCGCTGCTGTTATCAATTAGCTAGTTTGGTTCAACTGGTGAGATAATTGTTACTCAGCTAACAATTATTAACAATTAGCTACCGTAATCATCTTGCACCTCCTGAAACTATAGATACAGAGGCAAGGCTTGTTTGCCGTGTGTCACATCCTGAAGCACAGTTACTCAACTGCCGATTCATGGATGCCTTCCTGTCCTGGAAGGGGCGGAGGATACGAACAATGGGGTGGGGACAGGACAGAACAAAGGAGACGCCGACCTTTCCACTTCCGCCGCTGCATGCCTGCGATGCGATGCAATTTATGGTGGGGGCAGGTCGACTGGTCGCCTCGCCGGTGACATCAGGCATGAGATGAGCCAGCGGCGGTCTGGCGGGCGTCCGGTGCCCATGGCAATTACGCCCCGCCTTTTCGCGCCGCGGCTGCGGATCAGCGGATTCGGATGCCCTCCTCCTCCTCCATACACCCCCACGACCGCCGTCGCCATCGCAGTCGCAGTCGCCGTCGCTGGCCGGCCCCTCCCGCCTTTCCCGATTGAAGCCAAACGATCGAAAGCTGCCGCATTAATGGGCGGCCGGCCGGCTGGCCCCGCGCCCTGCAACCGACGGGCGCCTACTTTTCGCTCGACCCGACCGACCCCTGCCGGCGCCACCACGTCCACGGCGCGCCATGACCTCCCCGGCCAAGATCCGGTGGAGAGGCCCGCAACGCGATCGAACCGATCCCCGGGCAAGATGAACGGTCGCGCCCGCCGCGAAAGAACCGACAAGTCGCCAGTCGTGGGCATTCCCCCTCCTCGCGTTCCGATCCTTTCCATTCATCTGGGTACAGACAATACAATGGAATGGAATGGAACAGTATCGTCTGCTTTCGCGCTCGTGTCTCCTCCCACTGCATGCAACACGAATCTAGAAACACTGCAACTCTGCCGTATTTGTGGTGTCTACAATCTCAACGCAGTGGAATAATCCAGCAACGCTAGAATGAAACTCTGAAAGCAAGAAAATGTGAACACAAAGGTTGGAGTCGAGTCGGATCATCAGCAGCAGCAGAAAGATGGCAGATGGCTGTGTCGTCTGTACAGCACAGCACGTGTAGCGAATCCAACGAGCATGCAATCCACACCATCCCCAGACGACGTGGCGGGAAGCTGCTGCTACTCCGCGCGCGCCATCCGCGGCAGCACGTGAAGCGACACAACCCGCTTCCCGGGCGGCGCCGTCACCTCCCACACTCGGGGCCGGGGCGCCGCGGCGGGGGCACCCCACCGCCGTGAGGGCGGCGGCGGCGAAGGCCGGCATGGCGCCACGTCGACCACGACCACCTTCTCGCCGCCCTGGGCCGCCACGCACACGCGGCCCCCGCCCGCCGCCATCTCCGCGGCGCCCTTGAGCCGCTCCGACTCCACCACCGTCCGCCACCGGTCCCCGGCCCAGTCATACTCGCTCAGCGCCCCGCGCTCCTCGTCCACGACGAAGATCGTCGTCTCGTCCACAGCTGCCGCTGGGCCCTTCCATCCCGCGAGCATCCCGGGCGGCATGTCCTCCCACGTTGCGGCGCGCAGGTCGAACACCGCGCCTTCCTTGGCGCCGCGGCCACGGAGGCTGACCATGCACACCTTCCCCGCAGCGCAGACGGCCTCCGCGGCGTCGCGGCTGAACCGCGCGTCCCGCATGGGCGGCATCGGCTCCCATCCCGCCGCTGCCGGCGCGGACGCAGGGTCCCACGTGGCGCCGGAGCGGGCGTCGCTGGCGTCGTACCCGGCGCCGACGCCGCCGGCCACGAACACGCGCCCGCGGGCCGCGCCCGCCGCGCACCACCGGCGCGGCGCGAACGGGAACCGCGGGCCGAGCCGCCACGCGCGCGCGCCCGGGTCGAAGACGACAGGGCGGGGCAGCGCCGGGGCCAGCGACTGCGTGGACCCCGCCACGAGGACGAGCCGGCCACCTGCGGCCACGGACTGGAGCGGGAGCCGGCGCGAGAGGAAGGACGGGTGCCATAGCCTCGGCGGCGAAGACGGCATCGGCGGCGCCGGCAGGTCGTCCCACCGCCCCGCCACGGCGTCGTAGGCGGCGAACGAGACGCCGCCGGTGCCGGTGCCGGAGGCGGGGCCGGTGGAGGCGTCGTCGAGTACCGCGTAGAGCGAGAGGAACGGCGGGAACGAGGGCGAGTAGAGGAGGCGGCGCCAGGGGCGGCAGACTGCGTGCATGAGCCGCGGCGGGAGAGGGGCCAGGCAGAGGTGGGCGAGGTGGTCCGGCAGGCCCGGGAGCAGGGGCTGGTCCTGCTGCTCCGGCTCCGGCTTCGCGTCCATGAGCGCCGGTGCCGCGGCGGGCGCAGCCATGGCGGGAGCGGTACTAGTATAGTAGTAGGCGGGCCGGCGCGTCGTTGCTTGCGCTCGCACGGCGAACGCCGTGTAGTTTAGTAGGCGGGCCGGCCGCTTGATTTTGTCGCTCTGTTAGTTTACCCGTTCGATTTCACTGTTCGAGGAGTTTTCGTGGGGGCGCTAAAGTTGCAGACTCATTTAAAAAAAAACCCGGTGGCGAGCCGTATATGTGCTCATTGTGCACTTACAGCCTATAGTAGCACAGCCGCATGATTGATCATTATCAATCACAAAAGCAGAAAAGGCTCGTGTCAGGTCAAATAACTACTTGTACTACGAAAAGGTAACAGCCCTGTTTCGGTTAGGGCACCCACACACAATGGTATAAGTCCGATAGCAGCTCTAAAGTGAATCTATTCAACAGTGCTATCTCTTAGTAATGGCTCGTAGTAAAATTAGGTCCACATGATACTCTCGCATGATCTTAAAATATGTATAAGCCTAATTCTTAATAAAAACTAGTTTCCCTCTTTTCTATTAAAATATATAAAAAATATTAAGAGCTAACTTATGAGTCAACTGTTACGGCTACCTTAGTTAGCTTTGGATCGCTATCATCATCCACTATACACAGCACAGTACAGCAAACGTCCCATCGGACACTTTTGACTTTTATTTACGACGCAACTTGGCACCTTGCCTTATCCTCCATCCATATAGCAACTTAGCAAGTAAAGATCTCAACGCCCAAGAAAAGCCTTGGCGAGAGATTCACGTACTTGTTTTATTTATTTGTTTGTGTGGAAGCTCACATAAGATACCTACCTAGCTACACGTCGAATTCTTTCTTCGTAATAACAGTTGTTAATAAGGCCCCCCTTTGGTAGGATTTCTCTCCTGCTCATGTAGAGGAGCTCTACCAAACAGTTTGGTTTTGCAGGAGGAATTGTTTGGAACCATTTTTTAGTGAAAAAAAGGGAGTCAGAGCCATTTTGGAGGAGCCAAAACAGCTCCGATTCCTTCAGACGAAGAAGCCCTAACAAATAAGGCCTAAACCGAGCCTAATATTTCAAAAAAAAAACATTAAAATACGACATACCGAGGTGACCAAGGATAACATGCTTCTATTCGTATAAAGAAAAACATGCACAAAATTAAAACAAGCAAGTAGAGCCTGTTTGGTTGTGTCTCCAGGCAAGCTTGTCAGGCTAGACACAATTTCAAGGCATTAGATTTTGGTTGCCTGGGTCTAAGATCGTTGCTAGGGCACGACCCAAACAACACCGTAACGGGATGAAGACGCCGCCACCGCCGCCGCAATGGACGGTGATTAGGTTACCTAATCATCCGGAGCGATTCGACAGCAACCAGAACTAAAACTCGGTGGGCCGATCCATAGGCGAGTGCGTGTCATTGGATCCATCCAAGGGCGAAGGTAGAGAGTGGATGAGGGGGGCCCTATCAGTAATTTCTGGTTCAACGAAAATACTAGATAAAATTTTGTTATGCACATAATATTTTGCTATATACTCACTCCGTCCCAGAAATGTTGCTGTTTTACAAATAAATCTGGACAGGGCACTTGTCCAGATTCATTCCTCAAACAACTGTCTTTTTGGGACGGACGGAGTACTTAATATTCATTTCCTCCCCTAATAACGTACCGTATAGCACTTGACCTCTCCTATCAGTAATTTCTGGTTCCGCCCCGGTTGCATCGAGATCGACCCATTAAATTCTGCATCCGCGACCAGGAGCACCGATGGGGATTGGGGACACGGTACTTGGAGCTACGGACGGCGCGACTGGCGACAGAGGAATCCGGCCAATCCACACGCAAGTCGTGCGGTGGTGAATCGTTCAGGGTAGGGATTCGGATGTTCCATGCTTCCTTTTTGTTTTCTTTCGCACAGAGCGCGTCGTGTCGGTCTGGATTCGTTGTTACTACTAGCACGAGTCGTTTGTGCTGTGCGTGCGTCTCCCATGCCATGCCAATATGCCATGCCCAGGAAAATATATAGTACGACGACGACTTGGAAGCGGTCCTCCTCTGCATCCGTCGGCTTCACTCACGTCGATCGCTTCCGGAGCAGCAGGATGAGCTGAGCCACTCGTCCGTCGTCCCGTCTCGTCGCCAGCTCCGCACCACCGATCCGCCGGCGCCCGCCCGCCCGCATCACGTCCCCGCGACCGCGAGATATTCGTTGGCATGGAGCCCCATGGACGCCTCTCGACCGGACTTGCTTGCCGTTGCGTGCCGGCTTAATCAATGCCCCGTCCTTTTCTTAATTTCTCCCTCTCTGCTGTGGATGTGCTGAGCCTGAGCGCATGTGATTGTCCAACACACATGCACGATGCACCAACACCGACTCTGTGCTTTGGTTGATGCATCAATATATGCATCGTCAGCATAGCCCAGCCATCACCTTTTCGAGCGCTCAGCCGCAGCTTGCGAGCCCATGCAGTGCAGATGGAGATCCTCATCCATCCATCGGGGAGCTAGCTAGCTGCACGTGACTTAGTGACCCTCTCGGCCGCATCTCGCATCGCATCGGCATGGGCATGCGCATCGGCCACAGCTAGCAGACCGGGGGTCCATGCTTAGCACGCACGCACATGCATTGCCCTGTTCGCCAGGGCTTATAAGCCTTATTTTTTTTTCAGTCAATGAACAATATTTTTCTCTCACAGTAAATTAACCAACAGTATTTTCAGTCATGATTTATCAGCCAAGCGAACAGGGCAATGCACGATGGGCAGCTCAGCTAGGAGCTCGAGTCAGCTGCATGCATGCGCGGAAAAGGCATCGTTCGTCGGCAAACCGCAATCCTAATACTCCGAGTAACCCACTGACCCATACTCTCATGCCATGCCGTGGCCGTTGCAAATGGAGGTAGTATAGCTAACTACTCCTTTCACGTGTCAGAATTCTAGTTTTCTTCCGGGTGTCAGAGTTTTAGTTTCCTTTCACGCGTCGGTTATTGCATATATTTTGTGTAAAAAAAATACTGCTTTAGTTTATCGTAACCGTAGGCATAATCTGCAATTTTTAGATTTAAGAATAAAAAATCCGTTAAACAAAACTACGTACTTAACAAAATATGATATTTGTTGTCACAAAAACAATTAACAATTTATAATTATTTCTATAGTCCCACAATGACAAAACTTTAATATATGTTATGACACAAGGACATTTAACAAATCACTGGAATAGAAAATCATGGATAAACCACAAACATAGCAGGCCGTGTCTAGTGTTCTTATCTCAGCCATATCGTGAGCTTGCAAGTATGGCATTATGAGTGAGTACGTTCTTGAGTTCTTTCCAACGCCTGAAACTCTTGGCGATTTCAATAGGAGATGTGATTACACAAATTATACGCATTATATATTGCTAGATGAAAACTAATAAGCTATCAGATTCACATATCGCACAAATCTTATCATAAGAATTCATTTTGTAGTACTAGTTGACGGTGACACGATTTAATTTTAGATTAACTATTACAAGTAGTCCGCGCAGTCTCCAATTGATTTCATTTAGGTCAGCAACAACACGTACGCACGTGCGTACATCATCGTCCATTGTCCTTGGCTAATTAACTAACCGACGAGTACAAAGACTTAGGGCAAGTCCACCTTGCCAGCTAGCTACTTGCATATATTGATACTTGCTGCTGATAAACCGGTTCGTATCTTCCAACAAGTTTGTACCGTATGTATTTGGTTGCAAGTTTCAATGTTTTGACGACAAAGAGCAACATATATAAGACGTGTTTGGCAGGTTCTAAATTTTCGTAGACACGTTTTTAAATTAGTAGATCTAGATTTTCTTAAGAAACGTTTCTCTGATGAATCAGAATTACTTTGTGGAGCCATTTGGCTAGCTCGTTAGATTCTTGAAACTATATAGAACTATAATAAGGACAAACCAGATTTTGGGTGTTTCTTTGAACTAGTACAAAAACAAGAATCAATTCCAAGTGATTCTTCTAAAAATGTCTCCCATTGTGGCATTTGACAGCGATTCTAGTGATTGTGCACTAAGAATCTGAATTGTTTCTCGCTGACGAACAAATTAACCAAGTAGAAATTAGGTGTTTTCTCCTTGGAAAAAAAAATCACAACCATGCTTCTTCGGCGCCAACATAAAAAACCAGATACTATTAGCCATTTATATTTACTTCACTACAATCACATGTATAGCAGCAATGCTAAAACATGGTGTTAACGTTTTCTGCACAATGAAGTAAGCTAGCAGCAGCCACTAGTATCGATCATGCATACCTATCTCCTCATCCATACAAAAAAAAAACAATATACAAACACATGAGACAACAAGGTAGCAGCTATGCTCGCTGGCCATTCAATTCCCACAGCAGAAGAATCCATGATGCTGATCTGATTTCGGGGACCATAATACATAAGCAGTGACCTCATAACAAGGGAGGGTGGTGAGGGGAGGGTACATAACCTTATTCAGAAAGAAACATAGATACATACCCTAATACTAGTATAATACATACAAGGGAGTACAGCTGGTAAGCCTAAACAGATCCCACCGTCCCGGCCGGCTGTCGTGTACCTCCACAGAACATGCCAAGAACTGCCTTTTCGATCACCCACATGTCAACGAGTACCAATACCAACACGGGAACACGGCAACGCCACGCCATCTACCTTTTTTTTATTATTTTCTTATTAAATTCGATTAAATACATAAAAATATTAATATTTTATAATGTGTATTATATATAGGTATCACTGCACTAGTATTGAACCATATTTTCATAATATTATATTCGAAGATCCGAATATCCATACCATACTACTTTTTTATAAACCTCTAGTTAAAAAAAATAGCTCATTATTTGGAAAACGAGAAGTATATTTTTTTCAGAGAGTAACAAGCTAAGCAGCCGTAGCATTAAAAAAACCCACATATCATTTTCGCATATGGTCGACGTACGTCTGGGCCTCCTAGACCATGGACCGCACCCTGATCTATTGAGTAA